TTGAGCTAACAGTCACTCTGACTTCCAAAGTAAGGTAGCACAGCAATGTACGATTCCGGAAAGAGAAATTCTGGAGTAGGCATAGCCTCATGATGTTACAGAGATGTTGCAGGGACAGAGCTAGAGTGCCAGATCCTCAGACTCTCACCACAGCTCTTTCCTGGAGTCTACCAAGACATGTACACAACTAAAGTTTGACAAGCTCGCGTTTTGTACCTGCTACCACAGCCACAATAGCTAGAAACAATTATGATGCCCACAGGTAATGCCGGTGCTGTATTTTGGCCTTATGCTGCACAGTGCTATGAGAAGCATTCTTTTCTCCCTTCTGGTAATCAGGAAAAATAAAATTCATAGCTGAGATGGTTGACTGTATTACCATAAGAAAATGCTATAATTGCAGTCTGTCCATTCTATTAAGAATTAAAAAGGAGGTGAAATGCTTTAGACATTGATACCACAGTAACCTCAACATATCCCAGGTTAGGAAATTTATCCAGCTATGCAAGAAAGCAAAGCAAACCGCTCTGATGTGAATGCTCCAACACTTCTTCAACCCTGTCACAAAGATCAGGTGTTCAGTCAGGAGCGCACTGGAAGACCACTTGACTTTTAAGAGAGTTGTCATCCTCCTTGCAAAACTGAGACCAGGCTATAGAAATAAAACTGATTGAAATTATTACTGATTTTGATGATGATGACTTTTAAATGTTGTTTATGATGTGCTGTGAGCATTATATTGGCAATGCTGAACTCCAGGCAGTTAAAATTGGAGTTGAAGTGACTGAATTAAAATAATAATGAGACCAAAGCAACTACCAGAATTATCGAAAGGTTATATATCTAAATATAGCTTGTCCTGAAAATACGTCCAACGATTGCACCTGTCAAAGTAAATCTATAAAACTGGCTAGAACCAAAACCAGGTGTTTTTGTCAGAAGAGATAAAAAAATATTAAAAAAGAAAGTGGTTATCACTGTTACCCTGATCGCTATTTCACTCAGCCTTACCAGTGAACAAGACGTTCAGCCAGCTTGTAAAGTCTTTATCTGAGAAAAATTAAGACATTCTTTTCTGTTTCCACAAATTTTATGAGTTGGGCTGTTGCACACAAACCTGAACGGGCTGACGTTCTCATCAGAATAACCCAACAGTCAGAGAGGGCACGCACGGCCAAGCATGTTCAGTGGCCACGTAGGCTAATGCCATGCATTTGTTTCCTATGGGTGTTCTACAAGATGCCTTTCTACTTTAGTCACGCAGAATAAATATTGTTTAGGAATTCTGGTTACTTGGAAGGAGAGTTCTGGGAACTGATTTTGAAGTGTGGATGCAGAGAAATAATGCAGCACTACAAAGGGAAGTCACCAACGCAGAAGAATAAAAACCTTCAGGTGACAGGTTCTGCATCAGTATAGTCAACGAAGAGCTAAAATTATGCTACTGCTTCTTAAAAGGATTTATGCAGGCAATGAATTCTATGGACCAGGAAGTATTTCATTTCTAAGTCACGCTTAAATAACAGGGCTAAGACTCTAAACTATGAACATAAATTATATTTGTCACTTGCAGTCACCTAATTAAGAACTACACCCGTTCATCCTCACTCCCAGTGTAATGGCTTAATTACTGTATTTGGTGTAACTGAAAAAATACACATTTTTAAAGGGTTGTTCAAAGGGAGCTTAGGTGCATCACCTGTATGATATTGCTAACCAAGAGCCCCATTATAGCATAGCTTCATGTTTGTAGGAGTAAAACAAATTTCACCGATACAGAGCTGTACGTTCACATTTCATTGCTTAAAAGCATTGAGACTGTGGAATCGGTATGCTCAGGCAGAGCAAAAGATAACCTAAGCTCAGCCTTCACAGCTGCAAGCTCATGATGAAATTAAAAGGAAACAAATCCTCTGCTGTAACCCTTCCCCCCCCCCCCCCCCAGATGTA